AAACTGGAGTGCAGTGGCGTGAACATGGTTCACTGCATCTTCGAACTCCTGGGCTCAAGTGATCCTCCCACCTCAGTCTCTCAAAGTGCTGGGATTATAGGTGTGAGCCATTGGGCATGGCTGCTTTTTGGTTGGTTTGTTTGTTTATTTTGAAACAGAATCTCCCTCTGCCACCCAGACTGGAGTGCAGTGGCACAATCATGGCTCACTGCAACCTCTGCCTCCTGGGTTCAAGCGATTCTCATGCCTCAGCCTCCTGGTTAGCTAGGAACACAGGCATGAGCCACCATGCCCAGCGAAGTTTTTGTCTTTTTAGTAGAGGTGGGGTTTTGCTGTGTTGGCCAGGCTGGTCGTGAACTCCTGACCTCATGTGATCTGCCTGCCTTGGCTTCCCAAAGTGCTAGGATTACAGGTGTGAGCCACCACGTATGGCCTGCTTTTTGTTTTTTATGGTGGTACAATATGCATAACATAAAATGTGCCATTTTAGCCAATTCTAAGTGTACAATTCAGTGGTGTTAATTACATTCATAATATTGTGCAACTATCACTGCTATCTATTTCCAAAACTTTTTATCATCCCAAACAGAAACTCTGTACCTGTTAAACAATAACTCCCACTTCCACCACTGCAGCCCCTGGCAGCCTCTAATCTCAAATCTGGTAGCCCCGGTAGCTGCTCAAATCTTTGTGTGAATTTGCCTATTCTAAGTATTTCATATGAGGAGAATCATACAATATTTGTCCTTTTATGTCTGACTTCTTTCACTTACATAATGTTTTTAAGTTCTTCTGTGTGTCAAAACTTCATTCCTTTTTATTGCTGTGCTGAATAACATTTAGATTACTATTTAGATCTTAACATTTTTCTGTTCAATGCCTTGTAGTGCCTCCTTGTTATCCCAAGAATCAATTTTCAGGCCGGCATTCGGGGTCCTGTTCATCCTGTCTAGCCCTGGGCAACTGTGACATTCTTTTACACTGAAGCTTCTCTAAAGCTGTGGATATTAACAACAGATCCATGTTTCAGTGTTGTCACACCCCCCTTCGCAAATCGTATACTATTGATTTTTTTCTTCAGTATTTCAGTTAACCTTTCTTTTTCTCCTTCTCTCCTTCTCTCTCTCTCTCTCTCTCTCTCTCTCTCTCTCTCTCTGTTGCGCAGGCTGGAGGGCAGTGGCATCAACACCACTCACTGCAAACTGACCTCTTGGGCTCAAGGGATCCTCCCACCTCAGCCTCTTGAGTAGCTGGAACTACAGGTGCATGCCACCATGCCTGGATAATTTTTTAATTTTTTTATAGGAATGAGGTCTCACTGTGTTGCCCAGGCTGGTGTTGAACTCTTGGGCTTAAGTGATCCTCTCACCTTGGCCTCCCAAAGTGCTGGAATTTACAGGTGTGAGCCACTTCGCCTGGCCTAACCTTCCAATTCAAAAAGGAAAAGATGTTGTACTGACAACAAATTGCTCTCTTCATGCAATGCACTAGTAATTAAACTTGTAAATTTTTTGAATGAACCATAAGTTCTAAATAAATAACTATATCCCATCATTATGTTGCTACAAATGGAATACAGACCTCTATACTTTTTTTTCTTTTCATTGTAATGTCTGTTTTTTTTT